GTGTTGAAGAGCTTAAGCAGCCAGAAGGCTGAAAAATATACAGTTACATATTTGGGGGAATGTGTTACTTAATTACAAATAAAATACAAGTAACATAAGGACACAAATAACATTATTATAATAACTTAGATGTGGGGATCAGCTCAAACTACAGTTCATTTCAACATAGTGACAGTAAGGAGCAGTGTTTACTGGGGAGTGAATACACTGATTTATTACATGTTATTGATAATTTTACAATGGTTGGGACTGGCTGTTCCAGCGACTCAGTTCGTGCACGATGGGCTGATGCGGTTGTGGTGTCGAACAGTACCCTCGGACAGGATCTCAGGTGGTAGTAGGGCCGTGTCGATGGTGTAGAAGCTTCTTACCAAATTTGCAGATGAGGTCGTGGTGATGGTCAGTGAGAGTCGAAAGGGTCAGTGTGTTGAGCGCTTCTTGATATGTGGAGTAGGAAGGGGAGAGAATAATCTTGCATGCCCTCTTTTGCACTTTTTCTAGGTGTTTACGTTGTGTGGCATTTAGGGAGGAAGACCAGGTGGGGAGGCATAGGTGAGCTTGGGAAGTATGAATGTTGTGTATACACTGAGGAGCTCGTGTGCAGGAACTCCGAGGGACTTGAGTCGGCGGAGCAGGTGGAGACGGAAACTGGAGGCTTTGACAACTTCACTGACGTGAGGTTTCCAATTTAGTTTGTTGTCTATGGTGACGCCGAGGAGCTTCGTGGAATCTACAACCTGGAGTGTGTTTGGACCTAGGGTAATGGAAGGAGGTGGGACAATGTCGGAGGAGAGGTTGATGTGCATAACCATGGTCTTGGTATGGTTGATGGTGACATGGTTGTTGGTGGCCCAGTTTTGGAGACTGTTCAATAAGTCCTGGAGGGCGGTATAGTTGGGAGCAGAATTGTTGACGCTGATCCCAATGGTGGAGTCGTCGACATATTTCCAGCGAGCAGGGGTTTCTCTTAGGGCATCATTGATGAGCATAAGGAAGCAGAGTGGTCCCATCTTGGTGCCTTGGGGGACGCCACAGGTGAGTGACTGAGAGGTGGAGACAGCCCCTCGGAAGCGTACAGCTTGGCGTCGGTCACTGAGGAAGTCTGTAAGCCATGGTATGAGACTTCTCCGAAGCCCGAGGTCAATAGCTTTGTTTATGATTATATTGTGGTCGACTAGGTCGAACGCTTTAGTGAAATCAATGAAGGCGACAGCTACAGACGTTTTTCGTTTCTCGAGATGGCGGTATATGTAATCGAGAAAGCTGACAAGACAGTGAGTGGTGGAGGAAGTTTTCATGTTGCCAAATTGCTGAGGGTCTACGACTCCTGCAATATCAGCATAAGCCCAGTCAAACACAAAACTTTCACAGATTAGGCTGGGTATTGGGGTGATTGCAATAGGTCGTAGCTGATTTAAGGATTGTGGGCTGGTTGACTTGGGCACTGGTGATACATAAGAGGTCTTCCAGTCAGCTGGGCATCTGGCTTGACTGAGAGAAGCATTGATGATGGAGCAGAGGGGTTTAGCAAGCTCCGGGGAGAACTCCTTGAAGAGTTTCATTGGTAAGTCAATGGGGGTGGTAGAGCGTTTTAATTTTAGTTTGTCCAGGCGTTTTGCTACGTCAAATTCTTCTACTAAGTCAGTGGGAAGGGGGGCTGGTAGGTAAGCAGGGAGAGTGGTTGTGTCAAGCCGTGGGAGCGTCTGGCATATAGTAGCGAAATGGTTATTTGTTTGCTCAGCTGCGTCAACATTAGTGAGATGGCTAAGGAAGGGGAGGGGGTGTGTCATATTGTTTAGTCCACAGAGTTCTTTAAGCTTACCATACCATTGACTGATGTTGGTCTGCTTCAGGTGTTGTAATTTGGTTGGGTAGTGGGACTTCTTTGCAGTGCGTATTTCGCGGATGACTCTGTTGCGAAGTGACCTGTAGCGGATGTGGTCATTGAGATGAAAGGCTCTGTCTCTCTGTTGCATAAGTCTTTTGATCCGAGGTGTGATCCAGGGCAAGTCAGCTGGGTGAGATCTGACGGACTTCTCGGGGAAGAAGTGGTGGTGAGCTTCCGTGGTGGTGTTGGTATAATTTATCCATTTGGTTTCCACGTCATCCACGCTAAGTACTTCAGTCCAGGGATGGTGAACTATCCACTGCCCAAAGAGGCGCACTGCAGAGTCAGTAATCGGCCTGTAGGTCTTGATGTAGGGTCTCTGTACTTGAGTGGGAGTGGCAGCTGGGGACCAGAGCACTGATAAGTGTGTGCTACACCCGATAGGAGGCATTGGTTGAGGTGGTTGGTACTGGTCCGCTAAGTCAGTTAAGATAAGGTCAAGGGTGTTTTGACCGTGTGTGGGGAAGGTCACAACTTGTGATAGTGATAGCTGGTCCTGGATATCAGTGGTGTCAATTTCATTTAAATCCCCACATAATACTAACTTGGCACATGGGTACCTAACTCTGAGGTGGTCTGAGGTGGTGATGAGATGATTGATAAGAGTGTCTCTGGTGGGTGATCGAGGCGGATGGTATGCCATACAGATTATAATGGAAGCAGTGTTGCGTGGGTGTGCCCGCAGCACGACACGTACCCATAATGCTTCCACATCTGCTGGGACTTGAACATCCAGGCGTGACGGGCGTAGGTCATCTTGACAGAAGAGGGCAACGCCCCCTCCGCGTCTTTGTGAACGAAGGTGATGAAAGAGTTGATATCCCTCAATATGACACGTTTCAGGTACAATTTGCCAAGCCTCACATATGGCAACGACGTTCGCGGCGGTTGACCTGACTGTAGTTGCCAGCTCGTCGAACTTGTTAGCTAGGGAAGTGACGTTGGATAGCAGTAAAGACGGGAGATCATACCATATCCGTGGAACTTCAGTGTGGTGGTATGGTCTGTCAGGGGTGGGTTTCTCCGGTTTCCTAGTGGAGGTTACGGTTCTAATGGGCTTATGTGCATGACGGCCTTGTCTACGGCTCCGCGCGTGGAATATTTTCAGTGACTTGAGTAGCGCGATAACACTGCCATCAGGATAACCGTTCCCACGCTTTAGATGGTACAGAGTGCGTCGGGAGTAAGTGATTGGTGGCCATCGGTTGAAATCTGTTGTGGGCGGACGGAAGTGTTTGTCACTGGTGGCACTTTGAGGGACACTGACACTGGTAGACATCTGTTAATATTTGTCAGTCGTAAAGACCGTGGTCTTTGTCCCTGGTGCTTGGGGTCGCCGACACAGTTTTCACGATATATGTAAACACCGCGGTGGTCCTTGTCACTGGCACTTTAAAGTTGACCGATAAAGTGCCCACTGTCTGACTTTTCCTTGGGGTGCACTATCGAGCACTGTATGGTAATCACTTATTGCACTGATGGCTAGAATGTTTTGCCGAGAAAGTTCCTTAAGTGCACTATAGGAACACTGCTCCGTAATCAATCGTTCACTAATCACTAGAATGTTTTGCTGAATCGATCCTGGTGTAGTAAGGCTGGTAGGGCGTTGGGGTATAGCAGGGGGAGTGGGCAGGGCCAAACAGATTCGGCCTGGCTGCTAAAACCGGGAGCGCCTTCGGGGCACGTCTTATCTCACTGAGGGTTGACAAGTGTGTGTGTGTGTGTGTGTGTGTGTGTGTGTGTGTGTGTGTGTGTGTGTGTGTGTGTGTGTGTGTGTGTGTGTGTGCGTGCGTGTGTGTGTGCAGTGTGCGTGCGTAAGGCAGGCAGGTGGTGTGGCAGTGTAAGTGTGCGTGCGTGCGTGCGTGCGTGCGTGTGGAAAGAGCTTGGCAGCCAGAAGGCTGAAAATATACAGTTACATATTTGGGGAATGTGTTACGAATTACAAATAAAATACAAGTAACATAAGTGACACAAATAAGACATATAATAACTTAGATGGGGATCAGCTCAAACTACAGTTCATTTCAACATAGTGACAGTGTAAGGAGCAGTGTTTACTGGGAGTGAATACACTGATTTATTACATGTTATTGATAATTTTTACAATGGTTGGGACTGGGCTGTTCTTATAGCGATCAGTTCGTGCACGTATGGGCTGGATGCGGTTGTGGTGTCGAACAGCAATTCTCGGACAGGGGATCTCAGGTGGTAGTAGGGGCCGGTGTCGGGGATGGCGTAGAAGCTTCTTACCAAATTTGCAGATGAGGCCGTGGTGATGGTCAGTGAGAGTCGAAAGGGTCAGTGTGTTGAGCGCTTCTTGATATGTGGAGTAGGAAGGGGAGAGAATAATCTTGCATGCCCTCTTTTGCACTTTTTCTAGGTGTTTAAGTTGTGTGGCATTTAGGGAGGAAGACCAGGTGGGGGAGGCATAGGTGAGCTTGGGAAGTATGAATGTTGTGTATACACTGAGGAGCTCGTGTGCAGGAACTCCGAGGGACTTGAGTGCGTGCGTGCGTGCGTGCGTGCGTGCTTAACGGTTTATTGAAAGAGCTTGGCAGCCAGAAGGCTGAAAATATACAGTTACATATTTGGGGAATGGGTTACGAATTACAAATAATATACAAGTAACATAAGTGACACAAATAAGACATATAATAACTTAGATGGGGATCAGCTCAAACTACAGTTCATTTCAACATAGTGACAGTGTGTGTGTGTGTGTGTGTGTGAAGCTTGTAATAGTGCACAGGGCAACTAAAAATTAAGTTCTGCTTAAAAATGTACTGTACTGTACAGTAAAATACAGTACAGTATGTTATATGTCTCTCAACATTACTGTACATTATATAAGAAAATACTTTTGGTTAACAAGTTTCATAGTAAAAAATACAAATTCCCCTATTAATCATATAATACAGTAATTGTCAGTGAAGAGTTTGATATATTATTGCTTTCCTATCTACTGTATCAAAGGTGTAGATCAGAATGTTGAGGATTAGAATACAGTGCTGTATTATACTGTACTTTAACTACTGGTATGTTGTCTTATATTTACTATTTAATATTTTGGGGGATAACTCATGCCTTTACTGTACATCCAAATATCTAACAGATGCAAAATGTGAGTTCTTCAACGCTGGAGGGAGTGTGAAAGATCGCATTGCTCTGCGAATGATAGAAGATGCAGAAAAAAAAGGTCTTATCACACCTGGCATATCAGTGCTTATTGAACCAACATCTGGCAACACAGGTCAGTAAGAGGATTTTTAAGATATTGTGTGTATCTCATTTAAGACTTAATTTGTGTGCTGGCACCTTGGTCTTTCTGAGGCTCTCGTTCCATGAAGGAATGAACACAGGTTCAGAGTTGTGAAAATATTTTCAACCAGTGATCATCACACATATAATGATAATGTGTCATTTGCAACTTTTTAGACTTCTGCTGAAAATTTCAACATCTTAGCTTGACTATGAAAAAAGTAAAACAGTGTCCAGGCTGCCTCTACAAGCATTCAGAGTGAGAAAATTTGAAGGAAGGGAAATGGAGAGCAAAGAAATAACAAATTCTATGGGTCACACTCTCTTAAATGTCAGTGCCGGTCAGTCATTTCCTATCTTATTTGATTCATAGGTTACCCTCCATCACCTATATCATCAGTGTTGCAGATTAATTAACCATGATTACCCATGGAAGCATTACCATGGCAGACATACTTGTTCTTCCTCCCCCATTGCTATTTGATCAATTTCTTACTACTATTTCATATCATTGTTTGCCAAAAGTTTTTGAATCTCACAATACCAGTTGAAATTTGCTATGTTCCTTTTTTTGCTACTTTTATCTTTTACTGTCTCCCTTAATTTTGACTTCATTTTACCCTGTTCATGTTCAGTTTTGGTGCAGAGTTTCTGATAAGGTGGGGGGGGGTGTCTCCATTTTGAGGAGGCTAACTTTAAAGTGAACAGCAACAACTTATCCACCTCTCTCAACAACATTTGATGGACTTGAATCTTGTAAGGTCGATTATGCAATTTCATCCTGAGAATTTTGTTCACTGTTGTTTTAGGAATATTTAGTTCCAGAGAGGCCCATCTTAGTGATTTTCTTGGACAATTTAAAAAAGCTAACTGTGACCTTTTTTCTGTCGCTGTGTCCTTAGTCATGGTTTGCTCCTGGCACTTTACACAACCTAGCATTACCATCAGCAGGACAACCATCCTCATAAATCACTTAATATATCAATCCCTCTCACTTTAAGTGCATCCTTTTCCCCATCTTGTCATTTCTATCTTGGTCTTCCCTTCTGCTTCATATTATCCACTTCTGAATTATAAACTCATATTACCATTCTTTCACCTCCCATTCTCTAACTGTGTTTATACTGCCTAAACAAACCCTGGTGAGCTCTGTCTCATACATCTTTTGCATCAACATCTTTCTATTTCTGTATTTCTTATTCTCTGCAACCCCTGCACCTCCTTTTTACTCTCAATCATGTAATTTCTCTTACAAATACAGTGATACCCCCATTAGTCGGAACAATTGGTGCAGAGCACTTCAGGGGATAGGAGATTTCTGGGTAACAAGACAACTTTCTCAAACCCGTAAAAATTCCTTATCCCCGGAACCTTTTCCGGTTACTGGGCAAAGTTTCCGGTTGTCTAAACTAGACATCTTGCACAGACGCACACAAGCCCACTTCCCCAGAACGTTTCTGGGTGCTGGAGATGTTTTCCTTGAGTCTAAGCTACTGGAATCTGCAAATATAGTTTTAATTAAGTTAGAAACTTAATTTCTTTACGATAATAATCCAGAATAGTTAATCTAAAAGTCTGGTTCAAAAAATATATTGAAAAATTATAAATCTATAGGATATGGGAATGAATGAAGCTGTGTGTTACAACAAAGACTGTTATTTTTCACTCCCATGGAGCTGTGGGGGATTAGTGGGTCTCGTGTAACTGACCTGACCTGATGCAATGTCAGGTGGAGGTAGGGTGGGGAATTAATGGTCTCATGTTACTGACCTTCTGATGGAATGTCAGGTTACCCTTGCTTGGGTGGAGGATTAGTGGGTCTCATGACCTGAAGATGTCTTGAATAAACACAAAACCTATAGGTAGTATTTTTAGAGAGATTGTGGTAAGTACAGATATAAGTATAAGTGAGCAAAGTTGCATCCCTTCAACATTACGTTACATAACATTTTAAAATATGGAGTAAGAAAGCAGAAAGGTGTGGGTGATTAGAGAGATGGAGGGGAAATGAGTGTTGCTAAGCACTCCTCAAGAGCTGATATTTAACTCACTACCATGCAGTCACACACACACAGATGTGCCACACAATAATACCTTCACTCCTTATGCTTACTGTCTTAATTCCCTTGCCGGGGATGTGTGAGTGGTGTTAGAATTTGTGTGTAGTTGTTGGAGGGTGTGTTTGTGTTTGATGTAGGGGTGTATGTATGATGTGTGGGTGGTGTTTGGGGGGTAGGGTCGCGTGGTCAGCCCCCCTTCCTCACTCAAGTGTGGCTAATTGTGATAGGAAGATGAATTTGATACCATATTGATCCTTAATAAATTCTCTATGAAACATTTCCAATAAGATATCCTTAAACGAAATATTTCTGTATGATATAGTGATGATGGGAATACCATTCTTTTATATAAAAAATACGTAAGAAATGTTGATACTGGAATCAGTAAAATCGGTTCTAATTTTGTTAGACAAGCCATTTTTGTTTTACCAAAATAATCGTGAATACTTTGTCTAAAAGTTTGGTTAAATAAATATATTTAAAAAAACAAAAGCTCTATATGATACGGCATGAATAGAGCCGTTACTTTTACCCTCTTCGCCACTGATCTGCTCATTAGTTGCTTGAGGGATCGGTCACTTCTCTGTTATGCACTGTTGGCAATTGTTCTTGTGTACTGTATATATTGTACTCCTGCAGGTCCTGTCATCTTAGCCTAGTATAGGCTGACACTTCACTCAGTTGACTGTAATACAACTGTAATCATGTCTTAGCACTTGTGATGAAGGTTGGGTGGGAGATTATTGGGTCACGTTACTAGCCTGACCTGATGCAATGTCACGTTTTCCCACTGTTAGGTGGGGGATTAGTGGGTCTTATGACCTGAAGATGTCTTGAATGACACTTCTATCCCCAGGGTGTGGCGCCGCCACTTTTACCCCCTAATGGACCCTTCTCCTTCCTGCTTAGTTCACAACAAACGTTATAATCTTTACTGTATTTGAGTTAAAGAGATGAATTTAATACCATAATGATCATCTATGAGACGTTTCCAATATCACATCCTTAAATGACAAGCTGAATTAGAAGATAAAGATAAGTATTTTACTGTATGTGGAGGTCGAAGAATTTATTTGAAATACTCGGTAATATTCGATACCATAATATCCTGACCAGTGTTGCCTGTGATAAAGCCATAATTTTGAGCAGCATAGTACAGTACTCATTTTATACTAAATGTACTATGCTAAAGACTAAAAAAATTCTCTCTTGTGCAAATTATGAGAAATTTATAATTAAATTAATCACTGTTTTGCAAGGACTCCAACAATGCAAGTTATATTCTCTAAAGTCAAGTTTGTGACATTTTATAAGAGAGGAGGGGGGAAGGTGGGGTGTCGACAACCAGGAGGGGAGATGAACACTTACTCAAGTATTATGAAAGGCAGAGGGGTTTAATTTTTTCACTTATAAAATGCAACTGACTTGACTTAGGAGAATATAATCTGCATTGCTGGAATTCTTGTAAAATAGCGATTAATTCGAGTATAAACATCCCTTATTTTGCACCATTCATTATAATTTTAGTAATTAACTTAGTACATTTGAGTACAGGTTGTGATGATTTATGAGGTTGCTCAGAAGTTGTGGTTGCAGTTTCCAACTTTCTTGACATCACTAGTATAAGAGCTTGGACTCTTATAACATTACTTTAACTTCAACCTCTGACCTGTGGTAGCGTGACTCGAGGGTTAGGCCCATGGGTACATGTAATTTTGGTATCAAGTAATAGGAAAGAATAACAGTGAACAACTGCAGGAGAATAATAGCCCCAACATACAAATACAATGGTTTATTAAAAACATAAAATGGTTATTAAAATGACGTTATATTAATGCACAAATAGGAACTCACTTTGTACTATGGCCCTCAGGCCCAATTTCTACTTACACCACGATTGGGTGTACATACACAATAACACACATGAACTCTCTCACAGCACCTTAGCACCATTAAAACCCGTGTCAATGACGCCAGTTACCACACCTGCCTGCTCAAGCAGAACCAGACATAACACTAAACAGCACCAGGAGTAATACTCAAGCGGCAGCCATGATAGTCTCCTCACCACGTGGCACTTTCCAACAAACTCCAATAATTCTAGTGGAATCACACAGCCACCAAATAGCCCTACTGAGTCATGGACTCATCCACCAATGATGGGGGCTGGTAGTTGTTTGTGGGGCCTGATGATCGTTGTGTCACCACGTGGGCAGTGAGCGTTAGGGGAAGGCTGGCCAGCTATGGGGCCCATAGGTGGTAGGGGGGGCTTCTGACGCTCGGGATTCACGGAGATAACCGATTCTACTGGTCTTCAGACATCTCCCCAAACGAGTGGATGCGTCATCCAAGCTACAGACATGGCCTAGACTCCGATAGGGACCTGTGGAATGAGGATCAGTGAGCGTACTCATGGTTGAAAATGAACATCAACGTTTCAAAAGGACGTTAAGGACGTAAAAATACTTCACTCAAAGCACATCAGCTACATTACTGTAACACTTGCACAATCAAACTATTAATTAGGTCAAATCGCTTAAAATGGCGAGTTACAACGCGAGGAGTGGAATGACATACCTGTGGGGTGAGGATCAGTGAACTTACCAACGGTTTGAAAAGCACCCGCCACTCTCCACCCACGCTAAGTCACAAATTCCACTTACTCAACCATTTCACTGTAATACGTTACTGTACACTCTGACGTTTGAAACTGAGACTACGAACTCAGTTTCATTCCCTAATATTCTCTTTACAAACACATGCTCTGACTGAGCTATCAAAGGCAAGAATTAAATTGATCACAAAAGGTTCTGGATGGCAATCCCGGTGAATGGAGTCTAAGTGAGTAGCATCCTACTACAAACACCAAGAAGTAGGTCTAAATGTTTCCCTCAGGAAAATTAACCAATTCCTTAGTTAACATCCTTACAAC